GATTTCACGTAGGTTATCCTTTCTATTCTTTGGCAGGTAAGCCTCATATAACTGTTGATCCAGAATTCCACTATTATTTCCGGTTTAGTCACGAGATTACTACGCCTAATTTGACAATCCTTCTTTGCCCGTGACAGTGCTGTATAGATTTGTATAGATTTACAATAATTTTTCTTTTTTGTGAGACTAACCTTCTTTTCTGAGATAAAAAGACCGCCTATCGCCATGACGTTATTTAAGACTTTATGGAAAATTTCTGTATTTAGTAACAAAGATAAATACACAAAAGGAAATTTCCCGATCTTCACTGTGCAATTAATTATCGTTATAGCAAATAACAGAATTTAATTATAGTTCGATATCTATATCTATGTTAATTTTAATAAACCAAATAATAAACGTTTACTAATGCTAAAGATGGTATTTCCCTAAACGGGAGAAAAAATAAGATTAATCAATTTTATAAATTCTCTGTGCCAGCACCTAAATCTTCATTTATCGGCCCATATTTCTTCTATTCAATAATGAAAAGAAAGTAAACTTTTGAATTTAAACACGTCAACCCAGAGATAATGTCTAAGGAAATGAAAATAAAACAGCTCAAACAGGAGATCAAAGATATCAAGCGTAAACGAGAAAAAGACAAGATTGAAACGGAAGATTCAGAGTCATCTAGCATTTTCCAACAAATGCATGTTTTCAATTCCAATTTATCGTCTGATAGTCACCAGCGAAAACCTAAGCGGCGAGAAACGATGCCTAAAACTTCGAATAAAACTAACAAAAGAAAGTATTCTCTACCTAATCATTTAAGCATTCCAAATGCTATAAACCAATCTCAAGCTACTAATGATCGTAAAGGAGGTGTTTCTGTGCAAGCTTCCAGGCAATCCATACTGATTCTATCACATCTGGTACCTATTAATTCAAAGAAAATTAATGCATTTGATTTCTTTATATTAATAATCTTTAATATTTGTATTTATCTAACCCATATATAGCTGAAAGTACTAACACTATGGTTCAATACGATCCAAATGGCATATTTAATGCAAGCACAACTGACGCATTAGCTACGTCATCTGGTAAATGCATGATTTTTTTTATTGTGTCTGGTCTTAATATTTTATTCACATTTCGTGATTTACTAGAACCAACTCAAAATTTTAATACGCAAGAAGAATATGTCCATGTGCAGACTTTCGCATCAAATTATACTAATGATAATTTTATCACTCCGGATATCTTGCCGAGTCAAGGTTCATCTAATATATTTAATCGCATCTGATTTTTTATATCTCAATTATTTATTGTGCTCGGTCTTAATACTTCTAATAACGTTTTCATATTTATAATACATACCCACTGACAGCCAGCATTTACGTTTTTTCACCATCCCCTCAGCCAAATATTGCAGACAACTTGTTTGAACATGCCAATTATCAACAGGACACTTTCCAACATGATGACGTATCAAATTGTAAGCAATAGCAATGACGACAAATGTTCTTCTATTTAACATGCATGCGGTATTAATAACTTTTCCCTCGGCATTCTTCTTATAGTAATGTTTAACTCTAATGGTACATTTAATGACATCGACTTTTATTGAAAAAATTTCATGAATGACGAATCGAAGGTTTTGAAACTTGATAGTTTATATTTATACTATTAAAGTAAAAAGCGGAGAAAGAATAATGGAAAACTGCCAACTAATTAAAGGCAAACTAGCGCTAGTATTGGCATGGTTTTCATGGTTTTCATTAAAAATGTAAAAATCCAAATACAGTCGATACTGCTTAATTGCATATGCATAAAAAATTTTTGGTTTTTGTTTTACAAATAATTGGTTATATTATGTAAATACTTGAAAAATATCTTTACTGGTGATATGGAATTAAGCAGTATTGATTGTGTTTATGTAAAAAAATAAAAAACTTAATGTTATGATTATATACACATATATATATTTTATAGGTTTATTTTAACTATATATCTACGAAACGTCAAAATAAAGCAGAATGTGTTGTTTTATATTTTCGATTTTTTAGTACGGACATCATACTCCGGATTAAAAAATAGTTTTATTTAACATTGTTACAATGTTCTTCATGATATCGCTTTTTTTCATTCTTTCAAGAAACAAAATTACGTAACGATTGTGGATTAATTTTCACTATGGTTACATTAGATCCAAATTTCGCAACGATAGCCATTTACTAGATGCTAAATATGGGATTTTATAATGTTGTACAATTTTACCTAGCCTAATTAACACTGCAAGATAACAAAGCATTTTAGTCGATACTATACACAAAGATGTAGGAAAATTTCTTACAATTACGTGAGAATACGTATTGAAGTGATTAAGGCTAGATAATATTCCGTCGATTTCCTATCACTAGACTCGTTTTGTATTAAAAAACGGATTTATTTTCAACCATTCAAGTTATTAAAAGTACGAGATTTCATTGAACTTTCTAAAAACGTATTAGAAAAATTAAAACTGGTGACATTTTATAAGACCGGACACTTCTTTCTTCTGCTGTAAACATTAATTTGGTAACCTATTGTTATTTATATGAAAAGCATGTTGGAATTTGGATAGGACGACAGGAAAATTAATCTGTGAAACGATTGCCTGTGATAAAAAATTCCTTCAAGACATATAAGTTCTTAATTTTCTCATTCCAAGGGTGTTTATAGTACGTACTATTGGGGTGTCCAGTGTACTATGTACGTACGTACGTAGATCAAATTTATGTATCAGGCGATCGACATTTAAGTTAATATGAAGTCAAATGACTGACGCACCTAAATTTTATATGTAAAATTTAGGCAAAATTTGCTTTCTAAACTTATTTAACAATAAAGAAGTTGTTAATTTAATTTCTGGGCATCAGTTGCAAATTCTCTAGCATTTGAAGAATCTTCTCATAAAATTTTAGAATATAAGGAAATATACTTTTGCGGCACTATAGTGTCATGGCATTATGTCATATGTAATTATCAGATCGTATATGTAAATCGATTTTTTAAAGTAAAAATTTGTTTTTTTTTTAATATTAGGGTA